GGCACAATCTAGTAGTAGTGTGTATGTGGCACTTGCTTGCTCACTTTCTCCTCATTCTCTTCCATATACACAGTGTACCCTCCCTCTACTTTTACTGCTTACAGTAAAAACTCTCAGACCTCTGGATCAGGAAAGTTTCATGTCTCCTGGGCAATGAGCCTGTTTTTCCCTTAGAGACAATGTGAATCTTGGGATTGTTTCCCTATTTTCTTTGGTGGCTGAGAGTTGTATCTCCCACCATCTGTGACAGCTGTCAGAGTTCCCAGACCAGACACCTCCATTGTCTTGCATGGTGTGTGGCCTTATAGGTTCTGAGGCAGTGCTTGTGGACTGCTTGGCCATTTTGTAGGGGACTGTTCCCCTGGGAGCTTTCCTAGGGCTGAGGGATAGGGCAGGACTGTAGAGGGCACCGTTGGATCCCTGGCAAAATTGTGCTCTGCTGACTTGACTTAGGTCTTTGCTCTCTTGGCAGTCACCTCCCAAAGCATATAATAACCACTGTTTATTAATCACTTACCATAAGTTGGGCATAGGTCTGACTTGACATGTATTACTTCATTTAGACTTCCCAGCAACCATGTCTCACACATACTATTACTATCCCCAGTTTACAGATAGAAAGCCAAGGCTTAGAGGGACTAAGCAACTTTTCCACAGTCACACAGTACCTGTTGGAGCCAGGATTCAAACCCAGCCTAGCCTGACTCAGCTTGGATTATTCACTACTGTGCTATGAGCCTTTTAAATTGAGGGTTTTCAACTCCTTCAGGTTCTGTATATTTGGAAGACAAAATATTAAATTTTGGCGGGGTGTAGTGGCTCATGCCTGTAATCCCAGCACTTTCGGAGGCTGGGTCAGGAGCATCAGTTGAACCCAGGAGTTTGAGACCAGCCTGGGTAACATAGTGAGACCTCTACAAAAGTTTTTTAAAAATTAGCTGGGGGTGTTGGTGCACGACTGTAGTCTCAGCTACACGGGGGGCTGAGGCAGGAGGATTTTTTGAGCCCAGGAAGTCAAGGCTGCAGTGAGCCGTGTTCACACCAGTGCGCTCCATCCTGAGTGACAGAGCAAGACCCTGTCTCAAAAAAAAAAAAAGGAAAAATCCTACATTTCTTAGCAACTCCAGCAGTGTTTCATTCAACATCCCCTTTCTACATCTTCACTAAGTGCCCCTGTGCCTCCTTTCAGTCAGCTTTTAGTGAACTTCTTGAGCTAATTTAAAGTCCCTGGCATATGGTTTGCCTGTGACATAATTTTTTGCCCTGATCCCTCATTTTTATGTACATATTCCTTGTTACACCAGCCTTGCTGAACACCAGATTCTGCATTTTATATATTTATGCCATGATGCCATCCCTTCATTCTGGTCCTCTTTCTGTGTAAATGTCCTTGTTGTTACTGTTTTATTATGGGAATTTTCTAACATGCACAAAAATAGACTCATATAAGCCCTATGTCCCCATCACTCCTTATGAACATTTTGCCAATCTTGTTTTATCTTTTTTCCACACTTCTTTTTTTCTGGAGTATTTTAAGGCCATTCTCGGACACTGGGTCATTTCGTCTGTAAATACTTGAGTTCTGCGGGTGTTTGTAAAGATGGGAGCCTGTCTTACGCATGTCACCATTCATTTGGCAAGTGGGTGCCGAGTGCCTGCTGTGTGCTCAGTGCTCAGCAGACTGTGGCATGCATGCACACCAGACGTGCTGACTGCCCTTGAGAAGCGCTTACAGCCTGTTTTTAGTGAGACAAGGGAGTGAACATGCAAATTATAATCACGAACCCATTTGTTCACCCTGTCCTGGGATTATCTCAGAGCACCAAGGAAGAGATAATACATGGTGGCTTTTTTGACAGGGCGCGTGGCTCACACCTGTAATCCCAGAACTTCGGCAGGCAAAGGCAGGCGGAGCACCTGGTCAGGAGTTCGAGACCAGCTTGACCAATATAGTGAAACCCCGTCTTTACTAAAAATACAAAAATTTGCCCGGAGTGGTGGCCGCCTGTAGTCCCAACTACTTGGTAGGCTGTGACAGGAGAATTGCTTGAACCTGGGAGGCAGAGGTTGCAGTGAGTTGAAATCATGCCGCTGCACTCCAGCCTGGGCGACAGAGTGAGACTCCATCTCAAAAAAAAAAAACAAAAAATGGAGGCTTTTCTTTTTAAAGTAGTATCTGTATAAATGTGTGTGTGTGTGTATTTTTGTTCTTCTTGTTTTGACAGGGACTCACTCTGTTGCCCCGGCTGGAGTTCAGTGGCACCATATCTGGTGGTACCCCCACCTCCTGGGTTCAAGTGATTCTCGTGCCTCAGCTTCCTAAGTGGCTGGGATTACAGGCATGCACCACCACACCCGGCTAATTTTTGTATTTTTAGTAGAGACGGAGTTTCACCATGTTGATCAGGCTGGTCTCAAACTCGCGACCTCAGGTGATCCACCCGCTTCAACCTCCCAAAGTGCTGGGAATACAGGTGTGAGCCACTGCGCCCAGCCTGTATCTGTATTTTTAATTAAGTTTTGAACTTACTTTGCATTAGGCTGTTCTTAAACAGTTATTACTAAGATAAAATAAGGCAAACAAACAAAATAGACCCCTGGTCCTCCTGCCATTTCATGTTCCCCATAGAAAAACCTCTTCCATTCACTATTTTGTTATCTATATTTCCAAATGGCATGCTACCTTTGCTCTTCTTGTTAGGCATTATTAATCGAATTTACAGTTGGAAGACGAGTATTTGTTTCATCTGCCTCCCCTTTGCATCACTCACATACACATACATACACTCACTGTTTAAACTAGTTACATTGACATTTGGGTCTAGCCCTGTGGCTCAAGCCTGTACTCCTAGGTACTTAGGAGGCTGAGGGGGGATGATTGCCTGAGCCCAGGAGTTCCAAGGCTGCAGTGAGCCGTGATTGTCCTATGCATTCTAGCCTGTGCAACAGAGTGAGACCCAGTCTCTAAAAAAATAAAACTAAAGGCTGGGCGTGGTGGCTCACACCTGTAATCCCAGCACTTTGGGAGGCCGAGATGGGCAGATCACTTGAAGTCAGGAGCTCAAGACCAGCCTGGCCAACATAGTGAAACCCCGTCTCTACTAAAAATACAAAAATTATTCGGGCATGGTAGCGTGTGTCTGTAATCCTAGCTATTTGGGAGGCTGAGGCAGGAAAATCACCTGAACCTGGGAGGCGGAGGTTGCAGTGGGTCAAGATTGTGCCACTACACTCCAGCCTGGGCAACAGAGCGAGATTCCGTCTCAAAAAGCCAAAAACATTTGGACTGGGTCAGTATTCAGTATGTACTTCATTATGACTATTCAAATACTGGTGATAGCTGAGTCATGTAATTTACTGTGATTAGTTTTCCTTTCTTGTACAACTGTTTTCCCTGGAGTCTTTTTTAAAAAAATTATTCACAATGTTTTCTATGGTACTTATCACTAGTTTATTCCTAACTTCTCTCCCGGGTGTATAACGCTCCTCGCAGTGTGGTCAAAGTCAGTTGGGTGTTCAGCCAACTTCCATCTTCAGGAATTCTCTCCCAGAACCATCTGACCTGCTCCAGACTGTCTCATTTGATCTCTGGGATGGCAGCACTGCTGTTGTCTTGGGATCTGCCTTCCTCAATATCCTGGGCATCAAGTGCCTCTCATCCTCAAAACAACCCTTTCTCAACTCCATAAGCCCTTCTAGTGACTGCCCTGACCCTCTACTTGTGTTTACAGCCCACCTCTTGAACAAATTCTCTCTCTCTCTCTTGTCTGGGCCTCTTGTGGCATGGAAAGTGAAAGAGGAGATCGGCCAGGCGTGGTGGCTTATGCCTGTAAACCCAGCACTTTGGGAGGCCGAGGCAGGTGGATCACCTGAGGTCAGGAGTTTGAGACCAGCCTGGCCAACATGTTGAAACCCCATCTCTACTAAAAATACAAAAAATTAGCCTGGCATAGTGGCAGGCACCTGTAGTCCCAGCTACTCAGGAGGCTGAGACAGGAGAATTGCTTGAACCTGGGAGGTGGAGGTTACAGTGAGCCAGGGTTGCACCGTTGCACTCTAGCCTGGGCAACAAGAGTGAAACTCCGTCTCAAAAAAACCCAAAAACAAGAGGCCGGGTGCGGTGGCTTATGCCTGTAATCCCAGCACTTTGGGAGGCTGAGGCAGGCGGATCACGAGGTCAGGAGTTTGAGACCGGCTTGGCCAACATAGTGAAACCCTATCTTTACTAAAAATACAAAATTAGCTGGGTGTGGTGGCACCCACTTGTAGTCCCAGCTACTCGGGAGGCTGAGACAGGAGAATCACTTGAACCCGGGAGGTGGAGCTTGCAGTGAGCCGAGACCACACCATTGCACTCCAGCCTGGGTGACAGAGTCTCACTCTGTCCCCTCCCCTGCCCAAAAAAAGAGGAGATTCTCAGTCTATGCACAGACTAGGGATTGAAATCTGCATAGGAGTGAAAAACAGAAAAAAAAAAAAAAAAGACTTTTAATTAATCCTTCATTGCAGGCCAGGAGTAGTGGCTCATGCGTGTAATCCCAGCACTTTGGGAGGCCAAAGCAGGTGGACCACATTAGGTCAGGAGTTCAAGACCAGCCTGGCCAACATGGTGAAACCCTGTCTCTACTAAAAATATAAAAATTAGCCAGGCCTGCTGGTGCACTCCTGTAATGCCAGCTACTCAGGAGGCTGAGGCATGAGAATTGCTTGAACCGAGGAGGCAGAGGTTGCAGTGAGCCGAGATCATACCACTGCACTTGAGCCTGGATGACAGAGTGAGACTGTGTCTCCAAAAAAAAAAAATCATTCATTGCTTTCTGGAGAAGATGGAATTTTCAAAATTGAAACAAAACTTCCTGCTTTTTCCTGATTATATATTACACACATATTGTTGAAAATCTGGAATACTGGGCCAGGTGTGGTGGCTTACACCTATAATCCCAGCACTTTAGGAGGCCGAGGCAGTAGGATCACTTGAGCCCAGGAGTTTGAGACCAGCCTGGGCAACATAGGGAAATCCCATCTCTATTAAAAAGTATATATTAAAATGTTTAAAAATTCGGAAAATGAAAAGTATCAGGAGCAGAGATTTAGCTATTAATGTTTTTGCTTATTCCTGCTTTTTATTTCATGCATATATAAATGTGTTTTTAATTAAAGTGGGCTTACGTTACAAGAAATTCTGAATGAGAAAAAAAGTTAGAATTGTGTTATAAGAAATTTCAGGCTTTGCAGACGCTGCTGCCGAGGAAAGTCCTGTACTACTAGCCATGGTCAACCCTACCGTGTTCTTCGACATTGCCGTCGATGGCGAGCCCTTGGGCCGCGTCTCCTTCGAGCTGTTTGCAGACAAGGTTCCAAAGACAGCAGAAAATTTTTGTGCTCTGAGCACTGGAGAGAAAGGATTTGGTTATAAGGGTTCCTGCTTTCACAGAATTATTCCAGGGTTTATGTGTCAGGGTGGTGACTTCACACGCCATAATGGCACTGGTGGCAAGTCCATCTATGGGGAGAAATTTGAAGATGAGAACTTCATCCTAAAGCATACAGGTCCTGGCATCTTGTCCATGGCAAATGCTGGACCCAACACAAATGGTTCCCAGTTTTTCATCTGCACTGCCAAGACTGAGTGGTTGGATGGCAAGCATGTGGTCTCTGGCAAAGTGAAAGAAGGCATGAATATTGTGGAGGCCATGGAGCACTTTGGGTCCAGGAATGGCAAGACCAGCAAGAAGATCACCATTGCTGACTGTGGACAACTTGAATAAGTTTGACTTGTGTTTTATCTTAACCACCAGACCATTCCTTCTGTAGCTCAGGAGAGCACCCCTCCACCCCATTTGCTCGCAGTATCCTAGAATCTTTGTGCTCTCGCTGCAGTTCCCTTTGGGTTCCATGTTTTCCTTGTTCTCTCCCATGCCTAGCTGGATTGCAGAGTTAAGTTTATGATTATGAAATAAAAACTAAGTAACAAAAAAAAAAAAAAAGAAATTTCAAATGAGGCCTGGCTCAGTGGCTCATGGCTGTAATCTCAGCACTTTGGGAGGTTGAGGTAGGTGGATCACTTGAGGTCAGGAGTTCGAGACCAGCCTGGTCAACATGGTGAAACCCTGTCTCTACTAAAAATGAAAAAATTAGCTGGTTGTGGTGGCGCAAGCCTGTAATCCCAGCTACTGAGGAGGCTGAGGCAGGAGAATTGCTTGAACCCAGGAGGCGGAGGTTGCAGTGAGCCGAGATTGCCTGGGCAACAGAAGGAGACTGCATCTCAAAAAAAAAAAAAAAAAAAAAAAAAGACATTTCAAAGGAGAAAAAAAATGGTATTTAATAGGAAGGGGGGAGTAAATTACCTGGTTGCACAGCTCTAGAGGGCACCATTCCCACTGTGTTCAATAGCAAACCCAGCGATCTTGGGTTGAAGGGGTAAGAGCCTCCAGGCACACTTTAAGAAACTGATAAAAAACCGTTGTTTTGTCATATCCTTCGTTGCCACCACCCCCCCTCCCCCAATTTAGTTGTTACACGCAATACTACTCAATTTGCAAAGCTGATACAACTGGATTCTCCATTGTTTTTTGTAAGAAACTATCAGTTCAACAAAAACACAGATTCTTTTTTTGGGGGGGGGGAGGCGGGGAGGGGGAGGCAGGGGCAGAGTCTTGCGCTGTCACCCAGGCACCCAGGCTGGAGTGCAGTGGTACAATCTCAGCTCACTTCAGCCTCTGCTTCCTGGGTTCAAGGATTCTAGTGCCTCAGCCTCCTGAGTAGCTGGGACTACAGGTGGATGCCACCATGCCTGGCGAATTTTTTGTGTTTTAGTAAAGACGGAGTTTCACCGTGTTGCCCAGGCTGGTCTTGAACTCCTGAGCTCAGGCAATCCACCCAATCCACCCGCCTTGGCCTCACAAAGTGTAGGATTACAGGCATGAGCCACCATGCCCGGCTTAACTAACACAGATACTTTTTAACAACATGACCACTTTCTAAGTTCATTACCCTTTGAAACAAAACAAAACAAAACTCAGCTACACCATTTCTAAACAAAAGTGAAAAATAATTGAAGACCCAGTTAGCTAAGAAAGCCACCAAAAGAGTTGGGACAAAAGGCTCTCTCCAAATGGCTATGAATTTAAGCCTTTATAATTCATAAAGAACATATGAATTCAGAAAGAAAAACGTGCAGTTTATGGTTTGATGTAGCATTAACCCTGGAAGTTGCTCTCAGATCTTAAAGCGCTTCAAACTCTTCTGTTACTTTTACATATGAAGATAGCGACATATTTGATGATGGCTAAGAAAACATCTGGCAGAGCCATATTAACAAGGGAATAGTTTGTTTTATGATAGAAGAGGAAGCTTCTGTTCTCGGCTAAGAGCCATGTCCTCAGATACCATGGCAATAAATGGAAAGCTTGTCAGTAAGTGGTTGCCTCTTTGTCTTAAATTTTTAAGCAGTTTAGTAGTTAGCTCCAAATTAGGAAATTAACTGGCAATCAAAGCATTGGAGCAGGAAAACCCATTATAGCTCTTCCAAATCTCCAAAAAAAAAAAAAAAAAAAAAAAAAAAAAAGGGTTAGAGAGCATTAGGATAACTCTTTATAAGAAGAGGAATATGCAGGGCACGGTGGGTCACGCCTGTTAATTCCAGCACTCTGGGAGGCCGAGGTGGGGGGATCACTTGAGGCTAGGAGTTCCAGAGCAGCCTGGGCAACATGGCAAAACCCCGCCTCTACTAAAAAATGCAACACCACCAACGACAAAACTAACCGGATGTGGTGGCATGTGCCTGTGGTCTCAGCTACTCAGGAGGCAGAGATGGGAGAATCACCTGTGACCGGGGAGGTGGAGGCTGCAGTGAGCCAAGAGTGCGCCACCACATTCCACCCTGGGTGACAGAATGAGAACCTGTCTCAAAAAAAAAAAAAAAAAAAAAAAAAAAAAGGGATTAGAAGAATCGAATCGACTGGTAGATGGAAACATACTGGAATCTGTTGGCTTGTTTGCAGGTATAGGGGCCTCAAAAGGTATCTCCCCATTTAGAACCTTTGTGTTTGTTTTACCAGTGGCTTTAATTATCTCTCAGCTCAACCCCACTGCTTCCCTAAACACCAGATAGTAGTGGAATAGCTTAGTGGTGACATCTTATAGGCCCAAGAATAGAAATAGCACGGATCAGTTAACTAAGAACAAAATGTCATTCACATACGTCTTGCTGAGATGGTGGAGAATATTCTTCCTTTCTTCAGCTTTCCTATATTTCTTTAGGAGACCTCTTGTATTGTGGTAAATTGTCAACATGTCTCATGTAGTTATTCTCAATACATGCCATCTTCCTTAACAGCAACAGATGTGAGGCAGGAACTGTGCCTTATACTTACTCCCCCACAGTGCCTAGGAGAATGTCTTATACACAGTAGGGTTTCAATAAATGAAAGCTGGATACATTTTAGGAATCAAGCCAAGGGACTGGCCAGCTGTAGCAATGATCAATGTGGCTCAACTACACTCAAGAGTATCCCATCTCAGGACAAAGGACAGTCAATCTTGAGCCATTCTGAACTGATTATCATACTCCTAAGTATCATTGATTTCATTTGGCATTTTCAGTGAAGATGTGGGCTTTTTATTTATCTTTGGAATTTTCCATCCAAAGAGTATTTGGGTTTACTTATAGCTTAAAAAAAAAAAAATCATTTAAAAACAGTGTTTGTTTATCAAACATCAGAGCAAAATGCACCATGTACTCAAGATGGTGATTTTTAAATTTTTTCGATTTCATTTTAACTATTTTAACTATATATATATATATATATATATATATATATATATATAGAGAGAGAGAGAGAGAGAGAGAGAGAGAGAGAGAGATGGAGTCTTGCTCTGTCACCCAAGCTGGACTACAGTGTTGCTATCTTGGCTCACTGCAACCTCCTCCTCCTGGGTTCAGGTGATTCTCCTGCCTCAGCCTCCTGAGTAGCTGGTATTACAGGCGCCCACCACCACTCCCTGCTAATTTTCGTATTTTTAGTAGAGATGGGGTTTCACCATATTGACCAGGCTGGTCTTGAACTCCTGACCTCAGGTGATCTGCCTGCCTCAGCCTCCCAAAGTGCTGGGATTACAGGCCTGAGCCACCATGCTCAGCCAAAAAGTCATAGTTTGAATGAGTGTTATAATGTAAATAGAGATTTGCTCTTGCCAAGTTTTTAGAGAGGAATGTTCCTACGAAGCATTTAGGACTTAGCCCTCCCCTTGAATGTATATTAAATGATCCTGACAGCTTCAGCTGACGTGAGTTTTGAGGAATTCCAAGCTAATCACCTATTAGGTCATTATCTACAGATACTTTGGGGATGTCTTGTTAAACAGTTGGGAAGTTCTAAATATTTCCATGAAAAAACTGCCAGGAAAGAGAAATCTGCTAATAAAAAGGAGAATGACATAGTTTGAGGGTCTACTTATTGTAAAGCAAGAGACAGAACAGTAACTGGAGTAAAATGAGGTCACAGCTGCGATGAACGGCTGTGGTGGCTTAGCTATTGAGGCCAGGCTAAGCTGTTTACCACCAGATTTTGATACAAAGGGACACTACCAGAAAGGATCCTTTGGAAATACGTGGTGGAGTTGCAAGAAATAAATCTTCATTCATGAAACTGGCAACCTTTGGGGCAATGCTGAATCACACAGAGGGGGAAGGCCTGTCCTTTGCAAAAGACAAAATGGTTTTCAACCAACTGTATTTAGTCTTTAGAAAATTATGGGCCTATTTGCTTTGCAGAAGTGTCAAAGATTCCAAAAGAGATTTCTTTCACCAGGTGGCTACCCACTAATAAAGGCCCTACTGCTTCTTTCAAAGATGACAGAATTTAAAAGGTGCGTACAGAACACTGTAAATGCAGTGATGATTACTGTTTGTCAAATGTGGCATTGCTTCCTGCATGAGTCCTGTCTCCAGTTAGCTATGGCGGTTTCTGAGATGAGCTGACCTCTGTGGAAGACCCACTGGTGAAAGGTGGGCTGGACATAGGACCCAAAAGGTTCAATTTGGGGGTTCAATTTGGGGACCCCAAAATGCCTGGGGTCAAAGCATGAGGACAACAAAGAGAAGTTGCCACTTTTCTTTTTCTTCCCTTCCTCCTCGTCCTGCTTCCTGTGTCCTTCTTGCTCCACTTCTCTCAGCTCCTTACCAGGGTCCAGTACCTGTCTGTTTCCATGGAACAATCTCTGACAAGTTAACCAGCCAGTCAGTTGACTTCCTATTCCCTAGGCTCTCACCTGCCCTTCCTCAACTCTTAACCATTACTGGAAGGTAGCTGGAGGAAATGAGAAGCTGAGGAGAAACCAGTGCCTTTTTCTGTGTTTAGGATATATTAAGCATAAGCACAATTAGTAGTTTTATCTGAGAATAAAAGTATCCTAAATAGATCCTGGCTGTGTGATTTCAGGCTCTCAAGAAGTGCCCTCTTGGAATGTCACTTTCCTTCCTCAAAGCCCTGAGGGCAGGTTCTTAACACTGGCTGGGGGTCAAATAGGGTACTGACTATATTTCCATTTCACCAGGGAACTCCAAGGTCAAAAACAAGGCTACACCTGAAAGAACATTTAAAAGAATTACACTGCTATGCAAATACAAGGAAGTGTTCACTCATTTTCACCAACTCTGGATACACTGCCTATGAGTTAGCCCAGCTCCTCAAGGAAATTTATGATTAAAAAAAAAAATTCATTTCCTTTCCACCTTCCAGCATAGTACTTCAAGCTGAGATGCTCACCAGGACCTCCTAACCCCTCTCCTTGGATTCAACCGCTTTCTTCCCAGGTAGTCCATCCTGCACACTGTTAAACCAGTATTTCTTATTTGTCATTTCCAATCCTCAAGGATTCACTGGGTGCCTATTGTACACCTTCGCTTAAAAACTTTCAGGGATTTCCTATATTCTGCTTCATTCCCAGCTCCACCTTCCCATCTAAACATTGCCCACTTCCCCTAAGCCTTCCAGTCCTGCCAACCTCCAAAGCACCATGCCCTGGGACCTTAAATGCCCTTTTCTCTCCCCTCTGAGCCTGTTCAAACTCAGTCTCTCGTCCTGGGTTTTGGGGAGGGTGCTTTCATTCTGACTGGCTCCCACTGAGGCAGCCCCACTTGAGGAAGAGGCTGAGATGCCAAGTGACTTGCCTAGAGTCATTTGCCAGCAGGTGATGGAATAGGGACTACGAGCCACCCTGCAGCCTCTCCTGGGAGGACAACGCCCCTTCTCCCTCTCCCTGCACTCTGCAGGCAGCACAGAGGAGGCACCTGGACGCGTTTACCTCCTCCCCGCCCCCACAGCTTGGCCCTCACTAAGCTATCTTGTGTCGTTCCTCCTGCTGTGATTGATTCGCCCAGGAAGGTGGGGCTTTAGTAGTTCTTTAGTTCTCCTAATCACAAGGTGGGGGGTAGGGAGTGGGGAGTGGGGTGAGGCGGGGGTACAAAACAAAACAAAACTCCATGAAGCAACTTAGAAAGCACGACCGCAAAGGCCCTCCATCATCCCCACCCAGAGGTGAGGACAAGGCCTGGGGGTGCTGGGTGACTTCAGACCTCCCAAGGGTCCAAGCTATCTGCTTCAAGGGGGCATCGAAACGTAACTCATATACTTGGCCCCCCGCTCTGCCCCCCGACTTTTGCGAGAGGGAGCGCTCTCCCCTCCTCTGGGAGGCTGGAGACTCGGGGACAGAAGATGCGCTGGAGGGAAGAGAATGGAGCGTCGGACACCGGAAAAACTTTGGGGGATTCGGGGTGGGAAAGAAGGCGTGAAGAGAGAAGGGAGGCTCAGCAGGGGAGGAGGGGCGGGGGCGGGAGCGGGAGGAGTCACTGAGCTGTGGCCGCCCCTCCCCGCCCTCCACTCGGCGGCCCCGGGCCCTCCTCCCCCTCCTCCTCCTCTCCCTCCTCTTTCTCCTCCTCCCGCTGTGGATGGCTGCGGCCAGAATCGGAGCTCCAACCGCGCTGCCGGTGAGTGACCAGCCCCGGGGGACAGAGACGGAGAGTCCTGGGACCCCCCTTTCCAGGGTGGGGCCTCCCGCTGTCTCTGGGAAAGTTTGCGGGCGCCCCGGGACACGGGCGTCTCCAGGGCCGCTCGGCGCCTCCCCATCTCCCCGCGCCCGCCCTGGCCGTCCCCAGGGGCGCCCTGGGGCCCGCAGAGGGGTGGCCCCCCAGCAGGGACTCCTCGCCTCCCCTCTGTTCTGAGGCTGCTGCTGGGACCGGGGTTTGACTCTAAAGAGAAAACTCAAACACCAAAAAAAAAAAAAAAAAAAAAAAAAAAAAGGAATATCGACTAAGTTCCGTGGGCAAGGGCCGGGGCTCGTTCTCACCCGCGCGCGGCCCCTGGACCTCTCGGACCCGGGCCACCAGCTCTGCGCCCTTCACGCCTCCCTCGGGGCCTCTGTGTCTCTCTCCCGCCCCCAGACTCCCTCCTCTTTCTGGCTGCTGTTATTTGAGCTGCTGCCCTCTTCCCGCTCCCTGGGACCTCAGCTCGGACCTCAGCCGGCGCCTACAGCCCGGAGTCCCCACCTGCCTTGGAAGGCAGGCAAGGAGTCAGGCCACCGGGCCACAGCCGCGGGGGCACCACACTGGCCCAAACATTTCCTGCAGGTATGACCATTCACTGGGTATCGGGGTTGGGTCCCTTGGGCCCACAAACCTCGTTGAGTACAGGGAAAAATTAAAATATATTCCTCCTTAGGAATGCACTGTTTCTGTTGGTTTGGCATCTTTTTATTTTTAACTCCTCTAACTGTGCTTTCTTCTAATAATAATGATACTTCATGTAATTACCGTTTCTAATATCTAAAGACAGAATAAGGAAGAAAATAATAAACGGAAGAGAGAGAATACTTGCTAAAAATACTAATTTTTGACTTCAGTCCACACCCGACTGTTTTCCTGGGAGGTAGAAGTTCAGTGTAGTTTGTTTTCAGACTAACCGCAAACACGATTACAGCCTCCTCCAGGCTAGAAGTTTTAATTTGCCTGACATGCACCACACTGTTGGTATTCCCAGCCTGGCATTCCCGTCTGCATAGCTCCAGTCTCCCTCCCAACTCCCCCACTCTCACTTTCTTTCTCATAAAAGGGAGCCGTGAAAACAAGGCAATGGGAGAGGCTCAAATGGGCTGGACCACATAATAAAAACAGCCCTACTTATTTTAATCCTGAAGCTATGGCCTCCCCTAGACTCTGATTGGGTGGAAGAAATGTTTAGTTCATTTGTGTGGTTTTTATGTCAGTAGTTATTATGATTGAATCAGTGTTTCCATGACAGGCTTGCTTCTCTGGGCACGATGGGGAGCCTATTAATTCTCAGATGGGTCTGGACAGATCAAGTCTGGAGTCTGGAGAGATTTTTCAGGGTTTGACCTGGGGCTGATATTGCAAACCTCTGCACACTCAGAACCAGAGCAGCCGGGAGCAGCCTGAGCTGGGGTTTTCTTCCACATGATGTGGGAAGAAAAAGTTCTACCAAGGAGTGAACTGTGTGAGCATGGTTGCTGGGGGATGTTGAATTTTTACGTTTTTAGGAAGAACACGCTTCTCAAAATTTTAGCCACTCCTGTTTCCATACAAACAATAAATGTGGTTGTAACAAATGTAGTAGATCAGATTCTGAACAACTCCTTAAAAAACAGGTCCAAGTATTGGACCATTTGGAAATAAAGATTTTATTTTATTTGAGTTCTACTGGAAATAAAAGTTTATGTTAAAAAGGATGTAATTCACTTCTCTCCACTGATTCAGTTTGACAGTTCCCCATTGGTATGAATCAGTTATGTTTTACTGTGGTCTCAAAACATCATTAAGGCAGGGCACAGGGACTCATGCCTGTAATCCCAGCGCTTTGGGAGGCTGGGGCAGGCAGATCAGTTGAGGTCAGGAGTTCGAGACCAGCCTGGCCAACATGATGAAACCCTGGCTCTATTAAAAATACAAAAGCTAGCTGGGCAGCATGGCGGGAACCTGTAATCCCAGCTACTCGGGAGGTTGAGGCAGAAGAATCGTTTGAACCTGGGAGGCGGAGGTTGCAGTGAGCTGAGATCGCACCACTGCGCTCTAGCCTGGGCGACAGAGCAAGACTCTGTCTAAAAAAAAGAAAAAAATAATAATTGGTAGGCAAATGTTGTGACTTCCATTCAAAAAGTAAATCCAAAAAAAAAAAAAAGAAGAAAAAAAAAGTAAGTCCATAAATTCTGAACTCGTTTGGCCCTGTTGCTTAGAAAAACAATGTACTGTGCTCTGTGCTCAGATAAAAATCTTTAGTCTCTTCCTCTTCCTGAGAATTTTTAATAGTTCACTTAATATCCTGGAAGTCAACCTTATACAGTTTAGAGAAAAGTTGCCTTTCTGCCTTGTCCAGCTTTTGCACCACCTCATGAAATATTGTTAAACTGGATGGTTTGCCATGGGCACAAGAGTCTGCCCAGCAGTCCGAGGAGAGGCTGGGGATGTAATGAAGGCCACAGGGGCCTGAACCTAAGGAGTAGGTGGTCAGGATGGTGAGATGAAGGCTACATCTCCAGACAGCCACAGAAAGCAGCCACTGATCATCTGGACAAGTCAGATGAGTTGGAAATATCAATACATGAAGTGTGGGACTGGTGGAGAGCAAGGAAGGCAGAGGTGGTTAAGAAGCAAAATGATACAAATAAATAAAAAAGGAAAAGGCCAGGCACAGTGGCTCATGCCTGTGAAGTGCCAGGTGTGGTGACTCATGCCTGTAACCCTAGCACTGTGGGAAGTGGAGGCCAGAGAATCGCTTGAGGCTAGGAGTTAAGACCAGACTGGGCAACAAAGTGAGACCCCATCTCTTAAGAAAAAAAAGATGGGCTGGGTGCAGTGGCTTCTGCCTGTAATCCCAGCACCTGGGGAGGCCGAGGCAGGCAGATCATGAAGTCAGGAGTTCGAGACCAGCCTGGCCAACATAGTGAAACCCTGTCTCTACTAAAAATGCAAAAATTAGGTGGGCATGGCGGCGGGTGCCTATAATCCCACCTACTCGGGAGGCTGAGGCAGGCGAATCACTTGAACCTGGGAGATGGAGGTTGCAGTGAGCCGAGACCGTGCCACTGCATTTCAGCCTGGGCAACAGAGTGAGACTCCGTCTCAGAAAAGAAAAAAAAAAAAGATGTAGACCGGGCTCAGTGGCTCACGCCTGTAATCCCAACATTCTGGGAGGCCACACGGGTGGATCACCTAAGGTCAGGAGTTCAATACCAGCCTGGCCAACATGATGAAACCCTGTCTCTACTAAAAATATGGAAAATTAGTTGGGTGTGGTGACAGGCACCTATAATCTCAGCTACTCAGGAGGCTGAGGTAGGAGAATCGCTTGAACCTGGGAGGTAGAGGTTGCAGGGAGCCAAGATCGTGCCACTGCACTCGAGCCTGGACAACAAGAGCAAAACTCTGTCTCAAAAAAAAAAAAAAGGAAAAAAAAGATGTAAAATAGCCCAAAGGAATACTATGTGGCCTTTTAAAATCGTGTTGTATAAGAATGTTGAATTACACAGGACTTGTGTGTGTGTGTGTGTGTGTGTGTGTGTGTGTGTGTGTGTGACAAAGTTTTGCTCTCCTTGCCCAGGCTGGAGTGCAATGACGCGATCTCGGCTTATTGCAACCTCTACCTCCTGGGTTCAAGCGATTCTCCTGCCTCAGCCACCCGAGTAGCTGGGACTACAGGCATGTGCCACCATGCCTGGCTAATTTTGTATTTCTAGTAGAGACGGGGTTTCTCCGTGTTGGTCAAGCTGGTCTTGAACTCCCGACCTCAGGTGATCCACCCGCCTCAGCCTCCCAAAGTGCTGGGATTACAGGTGTGAGCCACTACGCCTGGCCTGGAGTTAATTTTTAAAAGCAAATTATAAAATAGAAAGCACTATAATTTTACTGTTTGAAAATACATCCAGAAAATACTGGAATTATATGCATCAAAATGGATGGTGAGAGTATAGTTGTCTTTTTATTTTCTTCGTACTTGCATTTCTCAAATTTTATAATAATAATAGCTAACATTTACTGATAACTAAGCACTTACATATGGTATTTCATTTGAAAACTCTTTGAGGTAAGTATTACTATTATTTTCATTATGGAGTTTCAGAAACTAGAACCAGAAGGGTAACTCATCCGAGGTCACACACCACTAAGTGCTGGAATCAAGTGAATTTAGGTCAGTGGCTAAAGTCTATGCATCTCTATCACTACTGTCTACCATCTTCCTGCACATGTATTATTATTATTTTAATTATAAGGAAAAAGTAGAAAAGGAAAGTGAAAATGTTTCATGCTTTAGTAAGAACTGATGGGCACCGTGGCTCGTGTCTGTAATCTCAGCACTTTGGGAGGCTGAGGTGGAAGGATCACCTGAGTCCAGGAGTTCAAGACTAAGTAGGGCAAATTAGTCAGGCATGTGGCACATGCCTGAGTCCCAAGGTCTCAGGAGGCTGAGCTGGGAGGATCACCTGAGCCTAGGAGATGGAGGCTTCAGTGAGCTATGGTCACACTACTGCACTCCAGCCTGGGCAACAGAGCGAGACCCTGTTTCCTAAGGGGTGGGGAGGGGGGTGGGGGGACGGTGGGGAAACAAACAAAAGCAAAAACAAAAACACACTGTTATGTAAAATGTAAAATGCCTCCCATCTCTTCCAGCTCCCCCAGTCACTTCTCTTAAGAAGTCTTTGGTAACTGCTCCAGATTTAGAGGTAGCTCACCTCTTCCTTGCAAGCTAGCTCTACTCACCAGAAGAATCCAGAATTCCATGGAGGCTTCCTGGCCAGCCTGGAATTCCAGGAACCTTAGGGATTCTGGATCAATCCTCAGTACAAGGCAAGATTTTTAAAGTAGATCAGGCAAATTGTGTCTTCAGAGCTCTGCAAATTACAGGGTGTTGTTGTTCTTTGCGGCGGCAGGAGAGTATGATGGGTGAAAAGCACCCCCAGGCTTAAATGTACCTGTGTGTTACATGGAATGTCAGGGTAAGTCAAGGGTTTACCATGGAATAAGAAAGAGAAAAAAAAGCTCATTGCTGGATGCTTATTACTGTGAAAACACAGCAACAGATTATCTTTCGAAAGCTTGGCTATGTGGATGATCCCATGCATTGGTGAGTTTGACTGCTTGGGTGAGATGGAAATATTTAGTGTGAGCGATTCTGAGGAGAGCTCTGGGGAAAAATGCTGACATCCTGTACTACCATGTCCTCTCATAGGCAAGCTCCTCCTAGGGATCACTCATCCATTCTCTTTGTGGAAGGTACCTTGAGATCCCTAGAAGGATCAGCATTCTTAGAGCCCCTGGCCCATTACATAACAAACATGCCTTAAGAGGAAGGCTTTCAGCTGGGCACGGTGGCTCATGCCTGTAATCTCAGCACTTTGGGAGGCCGATGTGGGGGGGATTAACTGAGGTCAGGACAAGAAATCTGATCACATATGATTGTCACCTTATTATAATCTGCCTTCTCCCCGGTAGCTTTTAAGATTTTCTCTAAAATGTTCCACAGGTGTGTCTAGGTATGGATTTGGAAAATTTTATCCTACCCAGCAGTCAGTGAGCATTTGTGATTACACAAATTTGTGTAGCTGGGCATGGTGGTTCAC